ATCACATTTTATTTGTCACATACACGTGTTTAGCAGACGTTATTGCGGGTGAAGCAAAATACTTGTGCTTCTAGCTCCGACAGTGCAGAAAAAAATCTAACAAGTAATATCTAACAATTTCACAACATATACCCAATACACACAAATCTAAGTAGTTTTTCCCGGCTGTATGTAATGATATAAAACACTTTCTGAGCTAATCATGTAAAACATAATACATAAAAAAAAAATAGAGCAAAGTTTCCTAAGAGCTAGTCGGCGCCAGGTACATCCATCTCTTGCCTGCATCTAGCTGATATGGTGTGTAATCATTAGTCCAACAGTTGCATAGAATAGTTTCCATTGGACAAATTCAGGTATGTTTATCCCCGTTTCGTTCCGTTTTCTTCCGTTTAAGAAAAGGTTTTCAACAGAATCGCCGGAATGAATACACCCCTGATCACACGTAAAAACAGTTCACTTTCATAGCAGCCACGTTGTATTCCTTCTTGCGTCTATGCGATCTCCTCCTCTCACCTTTTCCTTTGCTTGTGGACACCAGCTGTATGTGACCAGAGGAAAAAACCTTTCCAAGCCAAACCATATCATAACCGCTACACACGGCCTACATCGTTGTCACCATATTAGCTAAAGTAATGTCATAGCTAATTATTAAAACCAAAAGCTTACCTTGACTTGGAAGAGTTCCAGTGTTGTGTTGGATAGTCATAGCCAGCTAGCTAACATAGCGTCCCTCTGTTTGAGCCGGGTGTTTGAGTAGTCTAAACTAGCTAGCTGCATTTGCTAGCTGTGAAAGTGAAAGTGAAAAAAAATGACGAAATATCTCTCTCTCTCTCTCCTTCATTTTTGAAGAAATTAATTTGTTCAAAACTGTTCAACTATTGTATTTTTCTCTCTTTGAGTCAACTACTCACCACATTTCATGCACTGCAGTGCTAGCTAGCTGTAGCTTATGCTTTCAGTACTAAATTAATTATCTGATCCTTTGATTGGGTGGACAACATGTCAGTTCATGCTGCAAGAACTCTGATAGGTTAGAGGACATCCTCCGGAAGTTGTGATAATTACTGTGTAAGTCTATGGAAGGGGGTGAGAACCATGAGCCTCCTAGGTTTTGAATTGAAGTCAATGTACCCAGAGGAGGACGGAAGCTAGCTTTTCTCCGGCTACACCATGGTGCTACCCTGCAGAGTGCTGTTGAGGCTACTTCAGCCCTTCATTGCAAAACAGTGTATTTTAATCAATTATTTGGTGTCGTGAATATATTTAGTATTGTTTTATCTAAAAAGGAAAACGTTTTAAATGTTTCACTATTTGTATTTTTATGAAATTGACTGAAGATGGTCCTCCCCTTCCTCCTCTGAGGAGCCTCCACTGTTTTAGTCATATCTGTAGTCGGTCTGAGCAGGCAGTGTTGGGTCAACGTTTGGTTCTGCAGTTGGTCAGTATGTGTGGAAGTATATCCAGACTTGCTCTGCTTCTGGTGCTGTGGGGTCTATTCACAGCTGTTGAAGGTAAGAGAGATATTGCATGATCTATTTAATTTGTACCCTAACCCTAAGTACAGGGTAACAATGAGTAATGACAGTACTTGTTACACTGTACTTACAGGAGTTAGACCTACACAGTAATAAGGACACTGTATTGTAAAGTGTAACCAAATTGTTCACTACAGTTTTAATAGTCAGTAAGAATAAACTGTCCTTTTTACTTCACTACCAGTAGCTACTAATGCTCAATCAAACCTATCTCATGAAACAATAGACTCACAATCTGTTTTCTTCCTGTTTACAGAGACTCAAGAGAAAACATTGAGAACAGGAGGAGCAGATGCCACTCTTCTCTTCCCAAACCAAACACTTACAGTGCATTCGGAAAGTATTCAGACCCATTGACTTTTTCCACATTTTGTTACGTTACAGCCTTATTCTAAAATGGATTAAATAATTTTCCCCCCTCATCAATCTACACGCAATACCCCATAAGACAAAACAAAAACAGGTTTTTAGAAATGTTTGCAAATTTATTTTTTACTTCAGCCACACCAGAGTTGCTACACTCACCAGTGAGTTCCAAACTGCCTCTGGAAGCAACTTCAGCACAATAACTGTTCGTTGGGAGCTTCATGAAATGGGTTTCCATGGCCGAGCAGCCGCACACAAGCCTAAGATCACCATGTGCAATGCCAAGCGTTGGCTGGAGTGGTGTAAAGCTTGCCGCCATTGGACTCTGGAGCAGTGGAAACGCGTTTTCTGGAGCGATGAATCACACTTCACCATCTGGCAGTCTGAAGGACGAATCTGGGTTTAGCGGATGCAAGGAGAACGCTAACTGTGCCAACTGTGAAGTTTGGTGGAGGAGGAATAATGGTCTGGGGTTGTTTTTCATTGTTCGGGCTCCTTAGTTCCAGTGAAGGGAAATCTTAACGTTACAGCATACAATTACATTCTAGACGATTCTGTGCTTCCAACTTTGTGGCAACAGTTTGGGGAAGGCCCTTTCCTGTTTCAGCATGACAATTCCCCCGTGCACAAAGTGAGGTCCATACAGAAATGGTTTGTCGAGATCGGTGTGGAAGAACTTGACTGGCCTGCACTGAGCCCTGACTTCAACCCCATCGAACACCTTTGGGATGAATTGGAACGCCGACTGCGAGCCAGGCCTAATCGCCCAAAATCAATGTCCGACCTCATTAATGCTCTTGTAGCTGAATGGAAGAAAATCCCAGCAGCAATGTTCCAACATCTAGTGGAAAGCCTTCCCAGAAGGGTGGAGGCTGTTATAGCAAAGGCGGGACCAACTCCATATTAATGTCAAACCCTGATCTGTTTCACCTGTCTTTGTGATTGTCTCCACCCCCCTCCAGGTGTCGCACATCTTTCCCATTATCCCCAGTGTATTTATACCTGTGTTCTCTGTTTGTCTGTTGCCAGTTCATTTTGTTTCGTCAAGCCTACCAGCGGTTTTCTCCTTGCGCCTGTCTTGCTCAAGTTCCTGTTTTCAAGTTTTCCCGGTTTTGACCATTCTGCCTGCCCTGAACCTGAGATTGCCTGCCGTTCTGTACCTTTTGGACTCTGATCTGGATTACTGACCCCTGCCTGCCCCTGACCTGTCGTTTGCCTGCGCCTTGTTTTTGTTATAAACTTATGTTACTTCAACACTGTCTGCATCTGGGTCTTCTCCTGAAACATGATAATTAATGCCCATGGTATTGGAATGAGATGTTCGACGAGCAGGTGTCCACATACTTTTGGTCATGTATTGTAAGTGTTTGGAGTTGTTCCAGGTTATAAATAGGCTATATAATTTCCCCCAAAAATATATAAACATTGATTATTATAAATGTAGGGCCTATAGGTTTGTCTCATCTTTCAAAAAGAATGCAATACAGACAACGTTATTATGAACGTTTAACAGGTTTTAATTTTAACTGGGCCCTATAACAAATACATACTGCTTTAACAACTACTTACCCGTTGAGCAGTGGATGGAGTTAGTGAGAATCACTCAATTCTGTTCTCTGTATTGTGCAAAACATAATCTGCTACACTGACTATGATATGTTCCGCCTCTTCATGAGTGACGTCAGTTGCATGAGCGCTGCAAAACTACAGTATCAAACCCGTTTCTCTACGACCTCTCTCCCTAAAAGTATATTTAGGCGACCCCTAGTGGCAATTGTTTGTAACTTTTGTTGGTCTCTTGAGTAGCAGAAGAATCAAAGACGATTCACTTTTAAAGCATTACCAGCAGAAAATGTATGACACATTAAATAAAAACGTACATTACAACATTGTTTAAACATTTTATTTATAAAAGTAGAAAACACACACACACAACCAAGTACATTACAACATTGTGTATCTTACAGCATTTGATTTATAAAAAGTGAAGAAAGAAAACAACACACACACCATGAAAGTAGTCTACATGATGACATTGTGTAGGTTATAATATTATAACACACACCATGAAAGTAGTCTACATGATGACATTGTGTAGGTTAGACTATTAGAACAAACACTGAAAGTAGTCTACATGATGACATGTGGAGTTATAATATTATAACACCACCATGAAAAGTAGTGGGGGGGGGGGGCTAATGAAACATTGTGTAGGTTATAATAGTATAAACACACACCATGAGTAGTTACATGAGGGACATTGTGTAGGTTATAATATTATAAACACACCATGAAAGTAGTTACATGATGACAATTGTGGTAGGTTATAATATATAACACACACATGAAAGTAGTATAAATGATGCATGTGTAGGTATAATATTATAACACACACCATGAAAAGAGTCTACATGATGACATGTGTAGGATAATATTATAAAAACACACCCACGAAAGTAGTCTAAATGATGACATGTGTAGGTATAAATTATAACACACACCATGACCGTAGTCTACATGATGATTGTGTAGGTATAATTATTACAAACACACACCATGAAAGTAGTCTACATGATGACATTGTGTAGGTTTCAAGATTATAACACACACCAGGAAAGTAGTCTACATGATGACATTGTGTAGGTTATAATATTATAACACACACCATGAAAGTAGTCTACATGATGACATTGTGGTAGGTTATAATATTATACACACACCATGAAGTAGTCTACATGATGACATTGTGTAGGTTATAATATTATAACACACACCATGAAAGTAGTCTACATGATGACATTGTGTAGGTTATAATATTATAACACACACCATGAAAGTAGTCTACATGATGACATTGTGTAGGTTATAATATTATAACACACACCATGAAAGTAGTCTACAGATGACATGTGTAGGTTATAATATTATAAACACACCATGAAAGTAGTCTACATGATGACATTGTGTAGGTTATAATATTATAACACACACCATGAAAGTAGTCTACATGGTGACATTGTGTAGGTTATAATATTATAACACACACCATGACAGTAGTCTACATGATGACATTGTGTAGGTTATAATATTACGACATTTGATTCATATTAAAGGGAAGAATAAAACAAGTCTAGTGTGGATTTATCATGTTTCATCATTAACCAACTGCTAAATATATTTACATACATACATACATACTGTATTTACACATACAAAAACCAGCAGGCCTATCTATGTGTGTCGTCCATTCAGTCCACTATTCAGTACCCACAATGCCTATGGATAGAAATGGTCTCCGAACCACACAGATGTGTGTGAGGCAGTGTGGTAGTCACTCAGTTCTCGTTACCCTCTAAAAGTTTCCTAAGATAGAAAAGTCAAAACTGTCAAGTGTTGACAGCTATGGTCTAATACAAACAAATAGCTGACCAAGGTGTTTAAAATACAATTAAAGTGATCATTATACAGTATACTTTTATTTAATCCATTTCAGAATAAGGCTGTAACGTAACAAAATGTGGAAAAAGTCAAGGGGTCTGAATACTTTCCGAATGCACTGCATTCTGTATAAAATAAGGTAATTTAAAAATTGACTGAATGGAGTATCCTATATTAGTGACATGATTAACATAACAACAATGCAAATCATTTGCATGTATTCAGTCACCATGACTACCACCACAGAACATCATTCCAGAGCTTCTTGTTGAGAGAATAAAATAAAAGAGGACTTAAACCTACTTCTCTACAACATCTTGTGCTTGTTGCATCATACGCTTGGCTGAGGAGCTGAGGGAGTGTAACCTGAAACACAAAAATTACATTTTGGAGTGATGTTTTGAATTTTGGTGTTATTGTGACACATTAACATTCACAATCATCTCTGTTTCAAGCACTCTACCAGGATGATCAAATAAGGTTGTACAAATACTTACATTTTGAATGGACTGGAGATTGTTGTGGTCCTGAAATAAATTACAATTGGCAATGTTACTGAGAAGAGCCAAATCATCTGTTGTAAAAGTGTACTAATATAACTACTTTGTGGGCATTTACAGTTACATATTCTCCAGGGATGACATTTGATGCTGAAAAACTATTCAATGTTTTCTACTCTATTTCTTACCTACAGTAAGTACAAACACTGTTTACTTGAAATCATAAACTCTACTGTTATTTAGAATATATGTCTTACTGTTAGATTAGACCTCTAGATTTCAGGGTCATCATGTTGAGGGTTGACTGTTGATAGTTCTTCCTGTTCTCTGTCATGGGCTGTGGTATTTGGACTAAAGATTGTTTTTGTAAGCTTGACAATCAATGTCAAATGAATACTGTATTTTCTCTTTGTCATCTGGACAGTAAAACTTACCTTCTCATTGTATTTCTCTGATTGCACCACCACTGTGCCACAGCTCCACAGCACACAGCAATGAAACACAGTGAACCCATCACTGCACCAATCACTGTTCGCTTACCTGTGAAAGATGACAAGATGAGAATGGTACAATTCACAGATAAGAGTGTCAGAGATTAGTTGTGGTCATTAGATGAATTACTTACCACTGATCCTGTCACCATCAGTGACCTCAGGTAGACCTAGCACAGAAAATACAGAAACAATACTTCAGAATGACACCAGTCTGTTGATTGTTACTGTAGGCATGTACAGAACCATTTCTCACCAGCAAATGGAGCTAGATTGCTAGCTGGAATAACCATGGATACATTCTTGGTGACACCCCCGGAGAACAGTGACACCATACAGCCAACCCTGGTGTCTTTGTCAGGTAGACTGAATGCTGCCAGCGTGGAAGTTATGGTGACACTGACAGTTCCATTGGGATGGGTGACATTGGCCATTGTGGAATTTTCTAGAATTTCTCTGTCTTCCCAGGTCACTATGGGAGCAGGTCTTCCAGTAGCAGAACAGGACAGAGTGATGTGACTGTTGTTGGTTTGTGTGATGAGGAGTGAGGGTCCATACAGCTCTACAGAACAACAACAGACACAGTTCACAGTGAATAAGGACCACAATGATTCCATTTTCATGATTTACTAAATTATTCAATTTAATAAATGGTTGCAAGACATTGGATGTATGATCTGATAAAATGGCTGCCTGAAGTTCTGATGAAGTTTACAGTACATTATGTTATCAGATTTTACCATTGACTTGGAGGCAGGTCGTTCCGCTGATAGGTCCATCTGGAAAGGTGTTAAACAGACACTTGTAGCAGGACTCGTCTCCTCTTGACACTCCTCTGATGATGATAGAGCAGTTCTGCAGTCCCTCGTCTTCAAACTCCACTTTCCCCTTAAAATGTAGGTTGACATTGGGACCGCGTTTACTGTAGGTGGCCACATTTACATTCGCTCCAGTTGTCATTTTTTGCCAGGTGACTTGCCGCACGTCTTCGGGTGTCATGAGCTCACAGTTTAAGATTGCATCTTCTCCCAGGGTTCCTGTGACAACCTGCTGTGTTCTCACCAACTGAGAGAACCCTGCATGAAGACAGTTACACACTACTTAGTACTTACTACATTACAAACTCACACACACACACTTCTATCAATCTTTAGGATACAATACAGTGTATGGAGTACAATATTGTGGTGTAGTACTCATAATGGTCAGAAGGAGGAGTATGGAGGTAGGGGAAGTCCAGTCTAGGCTGGAGGAAGTTATTAAGTTATGAATAAAGACACCTGTAAACTGACTGCAGTATGGGTTCCACGTGTTGAATTATTAAAGTAACATCAACTACAGAACGTGTGGACATCAGTTAATATAAGGAGCTATGGCTATAGATCAATCCTCTTAGTTTATACAGTGACTTTCACTACACTATACAGTTTATACAGTGACTTTCACTACACTATACATGCATTTCACTGCACTACTATAATTTATTTTATCTGTATCACTACACTATACATGCATTTCACTGCACTACTATAATTTAATTTATCTGTATCACTACACTATACATGCATTTCACTGCACTACTATAATTTAATTTATCTGTATAGCTTCTAATGTATCTGTATAGTTGAAGATACATTTAGTTATGAATCTAGTGTCGTGAAATAAACAGGTGTGAACAGTAAAGCACTACATTTCATATGAAAAGCAACAGTATCAGCAATATTCTGTCAATAAAAAGCTGACAAATGCAGCATATCAGGCATAAAACTGATTAGCTCACCTTTAGGGAGGACTATTAGAAGAATAAACAGGTAGTTGTAGAGTGCAGGAGACATGGTGAACATGGGAGTTCTCTTATAGTCACTAGAGAGTAAAGAGAGGGATTTTGAATTTCCCTCTTTCGTGTGTCCAACCCACATGGGTTTGAATGAACCTATCACATATGGACGCCCCTCCCCACACAGTAAAAGTGAAAGTAAACTCGGCTGGTGGAAGTTTTTCTACCACAGTGTAAGCCAATGTCAGAACTATTGTTTTCCCTGTTTTAGTCGAGAAGGTTAAAGGAACTCTTCTCAGGACATAAAACAGATAGGAGCTGAAATAATACATACATAGCCTGGCGCAGAGCTATAACAAGCTACCCTGATTTTAAAATGGTGATTTTACTGTAAACAGAGCTATAACAAGCTACCCTGATTTTAAATGGTGATTTTACTGTAAACAGAGCTATAACAAGCTACCCTGATTTTAAATGGTGATTTTACTGTAAACAGAGCTATAACAAGCTACCCTGATTTTAAATGGTGATGTTACTGTAAACAGAGCTATAACAAGCTACCCTGTTTTAAATGGTGATGTTACTGTAAACAGAGCTATAACAACCAACCCTGATTTTAAATGTTGATGTTACTGTAAACATAGCTATACCAACTTAGCCCTTAATGAGCCAGTGATGCTTCCCCTCCTACAATATTTCCCCAAAATGAACCATAATTTACAGTATACTGCATTAAATATACAGCAAAACAGCAATACAGTACTTTTTTTTTGTATTGAAAACTACTCAGCAATTGCTAATAGTGAATATGTCATTATACAGTTGAAGTCGGAAGTTTACATACACTTAGGTTGTAGTCATTAAAACTCGTTTTTCAACCACTCCACAAATTTCTTGTTAACAAACTATAGTTTTGGCAAGTCGGTTAGGACATCTACTTTGTGCATGACACAAGTAATTTTTCCAACAATTGTTTACAGACAAATTATTTCACTGTATCACAATTCCAGTGGGTCAGAAGTTCACATACACTAAGTTGACTGTGCCTTTAAATAGCTTGGAAAATTCCAGAAAATGATGTCATGGCTTTAGAAGCTTCTGATAGGCTAATTGACATAATTTGAGTCAATTGGAAGTGTACCTGTGGATGTATTTCAAGGCCTACCTTCAAACTCAGTGCCTCTTTGCTTGACATCATGGGAAAATCAAAAGAAATCAGCCAAGACCTCTGAGAAAATGTGTAGACCTCCACAAGTCTGGTTCATCCTTGGGAGCAATTTCCAAACGCCTGAAGGTACCACGTTCATCTGTACAAACAATAGTACGCAAGTATAAACACCATGGGACCACGCAGCCATCATACCGCTCAGGAAGGAGACGCGTTCTGTATCCTACAGATGAATGTACTTTGGTGCGAAAAGTGCAAATCAATCCCAGAACAACAGCAAAGGACCTTGTGTAGATGCTGGAGGAAACAGGTACAAAAGTATCTATATCCACAGTAAAACGAGTTCTATATCGACATAACCTGAAAGGCCGCTCAGCAAGGAAGAAGCCACTGCTCCAAAACCGCCATAAAAAAGCCAGACTACGGTTTGCAACTGCACATGGGGACAAAGATCGTACTTTTTGGAGAAATGTCCTCTGGTCTGATGAAACAAAAATATAACTGTTTGGCCATAATGACCATCGTTATGTTTGGAGGAAAAAGGGGGTAGCTTGCAAGCCGAAGAACGCCATCCCAACCGTGAAGCACGGGGGTGACAGCATCATGCTGTGGGGGTGCTTAGCTGCAGGAGGGACTGGTGCACTTCACAAAATAGATGGCATCATGAGGAAGGAAAATGATGTGGATATATTGAAGCAACATCTCAAGACATCAGTCAGGAAGTTAAAGCTTTGTCGCAAATGGGTCTTCCAAATGGACAATGACCCCAAGCATACTTCCAAAGTTGTGGCAAAATGGCTTAAGGACAACAAAGTCAAGGTATTGGAATGGCCATCACAAAGCCCTGACCTCAATCCTATAGAAAATGTGTGGGCAGAACTGAAAAAGTGTGTGCGAGCAAGGAGGCCTACAAACCTGGCTCAGTTACACCAGCTCTGTCAGGAGGAATGGGCCAAAATTCACCCAACTTATTGTGGGAAGCTTGTGGAAGGCTACCCGAAACGTTTGACCCAAGTTAAACAATTTAAAGGCAATGCTACCAAATACTAATTGAGTGTATGTAAACTTCTGACCCACTAGGAATGTGATGAAAGAAATAAAAGCTGAACTAAATCATTCTCTCTACTATTATTCTGACATTTCACATTCTTAAAATAAAGTGGTGATCCTAACTGACCTAAAACAGGGAATTCTTATTAGGATTAAATGTCAGGAATTGTGAAAAACTGAGTTTAAATGTATTTGGCTAAGGTGTATGTAAACTTCCGACTTCAACTGTATATTACAGCATACCAACTGATATTTGGTGTTTTATATGACTTGCTATTTTTGCTTTAACAAACTTCTAAACTGACAGTGACTACAGGGCAAAACAGAACAAAAGGACATCCACTCAACCATTAAAGGTTTGAGACTTGCTGCCACTCTGATCTGTCCCCTATATAAATTAAATTGTTGGGAACCACTCCCACACATCAGTTAAATTTGTACTCACTAGTGTTGAAAAGGTTTTTTGCGGTATAGTACTGTATTCTGAAGTACAGTAAATTACTGGCAGCAATTGGCCAGTAGGGTTATCGAGAGTTTCAGGACAAGGTTGGTAGAATTCCTACAGTATACTACTGTATTATGTGGGCGTACAGCATTCTCAATCACAGGTGCAACAAGTATAGCCTCTTACAAGGGACGCCTTAAAATATGTTAATGCACCAGACTCTTTCCCACAATGCAGCATAATGAATTCCGTAAAAACACATTTAAGGTATTTTACTGTGCATTCTACAGTGTTTTACTGTTGAAATGACAGAAAAGCCTTACAGTCTGCCTCCTCTCCAATCCCTTACAATCCAAGCAGCTATTCTTCGCGCACATAGAACCTAACGCTTCAATATGGCCTAAATATTGATACTTTTAAAAAAAAATATTAACTTTTCTATGTGACAGAAACACAACCAGTCACAATGCTTTAATCTGATTAGACTACTTCAAAAGTCTCCTGTAGGCCTGCGCATGTTCATCCAAAATATAATTCCAGCATCCTCAAAATGGCTCGACATTAACCAAGTTTCCATCCAACCTTTTCATGTGAGTAAAGTAGCCTACATATCGGGTAAAAAATTTTCATGACATCATGAGAAAGCATTCAGTTTATCAGGCTACAGATGAAATAAGTTATGATGAACTTCACAGGGTGGTGAAAGTGCACAGTGTTGAGGTTGATGCTCCTTTCAATAAATATTGAGGGTCTTATTCTGGTGACATGATGATCGATGCTTGGCTGCCATTTGACAAATAAAAATAATCTCGCACTTTTGTCCACAATAATCTCATCATGTAGAGTAGCCTACCTGCACTGTATCTGCAAGGTGTTGGTTAGAGCGCACGTGTCATTAACAGAGTGGGCACATTCCCTCTAACGTGTCATTAACAGAGTGGGCACATTCCCTCTAACGTGCCATTAACAGAGTGGGCACATTCTCTCTAACGTGTCATTAACAGAGTGGGCACATTCTCTCTAACGTGTCATTAACAGAGTGGGCACATTCCCTATACCTATAAGCAACTTTTATTTGTGACAAAACCATCAGTAGGTCTAGACTTGAAAATGCGATGGAAACCCATTTACCTTGTTGTTGTTTTTCGGGTACAAGGGAATTTAACCTCCAATGTTATTTTTATGTGCAACAAGTCAATTTGATGGAAACACAACTCTGATGGGAAAATGCGCCAGGGTTTCCCTTAGCCGGTAGGCCTAATTGCTGTCTTTTGACTCCCCCAAAATGAAAAGCCTGATAAATACAATTGTAGTGGGCCAAATGGTCCAGGAGAGTCTGTCAATGCCTACACCCCTAGGGCAAAAACCAAAACGTGCACGCAGGACCAACTTTGGGAAACCCTGGCCTGGGCCACTTGACTGAGAAGATGGCGGGGGGAGGGGGGGGGGGAAACCCTGGCCTGGTCCACTTGACTGAGAAGATGGCGGGGGAAGGGGGGGGAAAGATGGAAGACTTTTTCATAGAAGTAAAACAACAGTTAGAGGATAAATAGTATGCTTATAGTGGAAAGCCTACAAGGGGAATTTACACTGAACAAAAATATAAAGGCAACGTGCAACAATTTCTAAGACTTTACTGAGTTAAAGTTCAAATAAGGAAATCAGTCAATTGAAATAAATTCATTAGGCCCTAATCTATGGATTTCACATGACTGGGAATACAGATATGCATCTGTTGGTCACAAATACCTTTAAAAAAGGTAGGGGCGTGGATCAGAATCAAATACATTCTAATAGGTATACTATACCTTGAGTAGAATGGAATCTACTTGCTAAAGTTAGCTAGCTTATTACTTGTTAGCCAGTAACATTTGTAAAAAGAAAAGCAGACTGCAGGAGCCAATATTTACGGTATTAAGCCCAATGACACACACAAACACACACACACACACACACACACACACACACACACACACACACACACACACACACACACACACACAGCACATGGGGGTTTTGAATTGTATGAAGACAGAAAGGTGAGAATCTGCTACCTGCTACCGTTCATCCAGTACATAACCAGTCCCAAACAATACAATGTAAGCTGAGATATGACAAACCAGCTCAACTCAGATGAACAAGTCAGAATCAGCTTTATTCGACATGTACAGGAATTTGACTGTGAAATGCTGCTGCCACAAACTGAATATACAGACAGCCAGACAGAATATACAGACCAAAAAATATATAGATGCAGAATTTCCACAGATCCACATACAGTATGTACACTTTGAACACTAAGCTACATTATAAATTATGCATGTAAGAGATGTGCAGAGTGCAAAGAGCAATGTGCAGTTCTGGGATGATAGTGCAGGGTGCATAGTCTGTGGATGAATGGCGC